AATTTGTTGGTATGTGTTTTCAAGCTTCTGTATCTTCTGCCCCATGGAATAGGGTGGAAGGGAGTATAACCAGCATGGGAGGGGTCTTTGATGATGTTGGTTGCTTTCCTGAGGCAGCGGGAGTCAATGGAAGTGAGGCTGGTTTTCGTGATGAACTGCGTTCACCACTCTCCGTAACTTCTTGCGGTCTTGGGTAGAGCAGTTGTCATACCGCAATGTGATGCGTCCAGATAGGATGCTTTCTATGGTGCATCTATAAAAATTGGTAAGAGTCATTGTGGACATGCCAAATTTCCTTAGCCTTCTGAGGAAGTAGAGGCGTCGGTGTGCTTCCTTGACTGTGGCATTGACGTGAATGGTCCAGGGCAGATTGTTGGGATATTTACTCCTAGGAACATGAAGCTCTCGACTACCGCCACCTCAGCACCATTGATACAGTCAGGGGTGTGTCCTCCACTCCACTTCCTGAAGTCGATGACAAGCTCCTTCATTTTGCTGATGTTGAGGGAAAGATTGTTGTCGTTACACTATGCCACCAAGCTGTCTATCTCTTCCCTGCCCTCTGAATGTGGTTGGATCTTAACTTTCCTCTGGACAATTAAGGATGCGTAATAAATGTTGGTCTAGCCGATGATGCTCACTTCTCATGAACAAATACAGCAAGAAAAAACAAAATAGAATCCTGGAATAATCTCTCATAAAAAGCAGTAGAAGCAAGCTCAGTGAATGATTCTAATTTGTAAATTGGTAGGTCTTTGCTGACAGAAGGGTATTAAGCAACATGGAACCGTGGTGAGTGGGCAGAGTTAGGATACACATCAGCCATGATCTCAGTGAAGTAAGAAGTAGATATAAGAGACTGAGTGAACTGCCCCTGTTCCTATGTTCTTTCCTATTTTCCTGATAATTGTGAGGATGAATGTGATAACCTCTACAAAGCCCATGGCGAATCAGTAATTAATCTCCCTCTGGAGCTCATTGAATATGCGTTCCTTTGGTAACCGGCAGTGGACTGACCAGTTGGAGCTCATCAACTGAGCCCTTCATAACACAGACCAAGGAATGGGTCTGTAGAACTATTGACCCAGGCTGAGACTAGCCTATGTATGCCATGAGTAGTGGCTTTATTTTGGTGTTCACCAATAAACCATGTTCCTTTCCAGTGGGAGTGGTAGTGTCCCTACCACAGGAGCCTGAAGGCCTTGGGCATTTGGACCTGCTAGACAGGAAGTGGAAGTTGGTTACTACTGCTGCTTGGGGAAGGAGGAGCTTGGAGAGTGGGGCCCAGACTTCAGAGTGGAGCCTGGAGCGAAGGTTGGTGTTTTTGTCTGGCCTGAGTGGGAGTTGTTGTGTGCTGCCTGGAGGTCACTTGAACTATTGCTGGTGACTCTGCTGCTCTGGCCCATTATTCCTTGCGGTCTATGCAGCTGCCTAGAGGTACATGGGCTTTTTGTTTTGTTTATTCACAATTGCTGAGGGGCAGAGTGTGCCTTAAATTGCAATGTTGCTTGTAACAGAGGTTAGCTGCACCTGTACTGATGTAGCTGCTACTGCTTCAGCCCAAGCTACTGTGGCCTTGTCACCCTTCAGGTTCTTGACAAAGACCCTGGGGTAAAATGTCATTCCCACCCAGACATGACCATTGTGGTCTGTACAAAGGCAATGCCTGATGTCATCGGTCCTTCAGCCATTGTCGCAGCACCCGAAATGTACATGTGATCCAAAATAAGCAGTTGGGTCGCGAGTCCATGAATAGCCACAATCTGAGTTATTGGCTGCATCTTTTTCTAAAACATTTATTTTCCAAGCACCATTTGTTTTATTCCAAATGTGCATCCTTGGTGTTAATAGTCCCAGCATATGTCTTCACACACTCGTGAGTTAGCTTCGTACAATTTTTGCCAACAATTACTTCAACTATTCAGGAACAACAGTGAACGGAACAACTTAAGAACCACGGAGCAAGTGTAGGCTGTTCAAGCCCTGAAGTCTGTTAAACCATTCAGTAAGTGTGACTGAGGGATGTCATGGCCTAGTGGTATTGTCACTGGACTAATAATCCAGGTAATGTACCGGGTACCTGGGTTTGAATCCTGCCATGGCAGAGGGTGGAGTTTGAATTCAATAAATACCTGAAATTAAGAGTCTAATATTGATCATGAATCCATTGTTGGATCGAGGAAAAACCCATCTGGTTCACTAATGTCATTCAGGGGCATCCTGAGCTGGTCTGGCACACCATGTGACAATGTGTTTTACACAGTTATCCTCCTCTGGGCAATTAGGGATGGGTAATAAATCTGGCCTAGCCAGCGATGTTCATAAACTGTGAATGAATAATAAAAGAAAGCTGTTGAGGCCTGAAGTCCACTATCTAGCCTGGCATTCCATAACCCTTTACTGCCCTGTAGATCATACATTTGTCTACTCTTGCTATGATGTGGCGTACATTGAGTCTGTACTGCCAAAATTACACTATAATTTACACTAGTCCCACTTTCCCTTACGTGACCCATTGCTTTGAATATTACGACACATCAAGTACTTCCCAGGCAGTACATTCCAAATTTTTACCACCCTTTGGATGAAAAGATTTTTCCTGAAATCCTCTCTAATCCTCCTGCCTTTCCCTTAAAACTTTGCCCCCTTGTTGCCGACCCTTCAACTAAAGAGAACAGCTGTTTTCTTTGCACCCTGTCCATGCCCCTCATAAACTTATAAATGTCTATCAGGTGCCCCCTCAGGCTCCAAAGAAAACAAGCCAAGCTTATCCAGTCTCTTTCCATAGCTGAAGTGCTCCATTCCAGGCACTATCCTGGTGAATCTCCTATGCATCCCCTCCAGTGCAATCACATCCTTCCTATAGTTGGTGACCAGAACTGCACACAATATTCCAGCTGTGGCCTAACCAAAGTTTTACACACTTCTTTGTTAATTCATTCCCAGGTTGCTAAATCTATTTGCCAAATATCTTACCTTTTATTGACTTTACTTCCAGTATCATATACTGAGTAGAAGGTTCCTTTGGACCAAGGAATTTTATTACTCATAAGAAACCTCACTAGCTTGTTTAGTAGATTTTTTTTGTAATACAGTGCAATGTCACAAATTAAATCATGAGCCACAATTTCTCTACAGATATATTCAATAATAATGATGCAGTGCTGTGATGCTGTTCTTGAGATGAATCAATATAAATGCATCTCAACTTTGCTGCACAATTTTGTTAAAATTCTAACATGTATTCAACCAAGAAAGGGTCATTAGTTTCTGTGCACAAGAGATCACTATGATTTGGTTTGCGAGGTACATTCATTATCTAGTACCACTTGGTGGTGAGCTCAACACTGAGTGCACCATTATCCAAAGATTTATGTAATTGAGGAATGAGTGAAGCATTAACGCAAACCATACAATTAAAGTGGAAAAATGATTGCAGAGGTGTTGCATTGCTTCACCGCAATCAACAGGGATATGTTCCTGGGTGTTTAAAGAATGTCGTGCCAGAGTTTACACCATTATATTTTGGCAAAACTTTGCAAGTGATACGTGGCCAGTCTGAGTGACGCTTCTTGCTATTTATGTTGTGCGCAAAAGTTAAAGCTGGCTTGAGCTGGGGATTGGATAATAATCTCTTCTCTGTTATGAGTTACATGACCTCCTATGGCATTGCCCATGTGTATTCTGGAATTTGTGGCACAATCCTGATGTTTACCTGTTAAGAGGGAGATGACAGTGGTGAAATGTAACATGGGTTTTGATGCAAGATGGGTAAAGCCATATTGGCTAACCATGATATGATACACTTGATGGGTCAGCTATGTTGAAAATCAAGGAAACTGAATACTGGTGGAACACATCTCAGGCAATTGATTTGATGCAATGCATTTTTTTTTGTTGTTCATGGGATGCGTGCATCACCAACAAGGCAAACGTTTTTCGCCCATCCCTGACTGCCCTCGTCTAGTTTTATTCTAGACATGCCAACCTGTTTGGATATGTTAAGACGCACCTCTGGTGCAGGTGGGACTTTCTGGTGCAGAGGTAGAACACTACCACTGTGACACAACACTCTTAATTGTTAGTATAAACATAATTGCGTTAAGGAGATGTATACAAATTTATTTTCTGTAACGTCATATGTGTGGAAAATGGCTGGTGTTGTAACAACATGCATGGGGCCCAGATTTCCATGGCCTCCTTTCAGCAAGAATGGGCTACTGGGTTCAAAGAGTGTGTTGGATTTTTGCCTGAACCATCACAAAAATGTGGACTGTCTTTTTATTGCAGTTACCATTCTCTTTGAAAATTTCAGGCATGCATTTATGATTAAGTCACCTACAGAATTAAGTAAATAGTTGATTTTAATGCTGTGTAATTTGACTTCTGAATCTCCATAATGAGAGATCAAAGTGGAGATGAGATGAAGCAACATTGATGACTCATTCATGGCCTTTCTTCAGTTGAAAAATTACTTCATTTCTATTGTCTCTGCTGGTTTTGGATTAAGGAATTGAACTCATTCGTATGCCACATTATTCTGGTAAAAGTAAGAGGATGACTTCATACTTGCAACGAGAGAGAGAGCTGATGGTTATAAAGTAGAAGCAAGGCACATTTCCTTCTCTGATTGATTTGAAATATGTTGAATGGAGTTTAGCTAGTCAAAGAACTGATAGAAGGCATGGGATATGTAAGGAATGCAAGCATAGAAGGATGTAATCTGCTTATAAAGGAATAAACTGCATTTATGTAACATTCTGTTACTGCTGAACTACATCTCTCTGGATACCTTAAAACTGCATTGAATTGGCAGCCTATGTCATGTACTGAAGTAACGAATGGGGAACCTTCTCTTGGCTTGTGGTGCCAATGGTTGGTAGAGAATAGTAACAGTAGACCTTAGAATGAGCCCTTAACCTTGCGCCAATGCATTATTTTGCTTCCATTGGGATCCTGTCTGGACTTTCATATGAATGTAAATTGTCTTTTTGTTGCAGTTAAAATTCCAAGTCGAAGAACCTATATTGATCCAGAGACATGTGAAGACCCCATCCAAGCAGTGCATCTTTTTGCCAAAGAACTGGACCTTTCCTGCATCAAAATTGAGAGAGTTATTGGAGGAGGTACTGGTCATCATACACAGAAAGTAGCAACAAAATGAGACTCAGGACTCTGGTCCTGTCATGGCTTAAAATGGAGTGGGAACTGGATACCTCATGATGTAGTGACTGTAGAGATCAGATACTCCCCTGTAGACAGGAAAAGACAGTGATCGCTCAGATTTATCTCATATTTTCCATTCCATCAGTTTCAAATGAACAGTTCTCTGAGTTCATGCTTTTCAGCTGGGCTTGGAGAAGGAGGAGTTTCGCCAATCTGATAAATTTGCTTTCAAAGTTGCTACAAAGTCAGGATTTCCAATTTCTTTTTTTGTTCATCAGTTGCAGAGTATTCATAAAAACTCCATGAGCATGAAGCTATATCATGGAACCAATGCGGGTAGGCCCAGTACTCAATCAGCACTGAGCTTACCTATCCTGTGATAAGGGGAAAAACAGACCGTGCCACTGATAACAATGTGCTGGCAAACAAAAGTCCCAGAGGTGGATCTCAATGGTCCCATAAGCAGCAGGTGGACCCACATTTACATCTCAATGCCTCTGCCAAAGTTCGCAGGGCGATCCCTCCAACATCTGTCATTTACTATGTTTCTACATATTAAAGATATTGAATGATATGGGGAACGTGTGGAGAAACTGCTTTGTGATAGGAGGTCAACCATAAAATATGAATTGTGGAACAGCTGTATGGGTCAAATGGCCTACTCCTGCTCTTAGTTCCATGCTCCTCTGTATAGGAGACAATAACTTCAAATATATCAGTTATTGCTTTGTTTGTAAAGATCCATTCGATCAGCTCAGTTGGCTGAACAGCCAGTTAGTGGTGCAGAGTGATGCCAACAGCATGGGTTCAATTCCCATTGCTGGCTGAAGTTACCTTCATTCTCAGCCTCTTCCCTGGCCTGAGGCATGATGACCCTCAGGTCAAACTGCCACCAGTTGTCTGTTTCTAATGAGAGAGAAACTCTGGTAGGACTGTGGTAACTTTACCCTTTTTTTTATTCTTTCAGTACGCTGGGTATATCTGCAGCTCATCATCTGAGTATCCTAAATGAATTTCCAGAGATTTAAAGAGCTGATTTAATGGGCGCACACATAGCTACAATAGGAGTGGATCTGATATTACTGCTCCTTGCTTTTGTGACTGAAGTCACATAATGTATACTGTTTACCAATTGAGGTTTCAGCAAAATAGTGACAGTGTCAAACCAATTAGATTATACGTCTTGTTTACTGGAACTTACACAGAACATCTCTGCTCTCTTGGTTATGCAAACAAGAGCAGTTTATTCTGAATTCATTTTAAATTTGTTACTTTTTTGGGGAAATAACATCACTGACGCTGTTGGGAGCAGCCGCACTTGGGGATCAAAGTGAGGGAAATGAAGTAAAATAGATTCTTCACGTGAGTTCCGCTTTCACTTTTGTTGCATTATTATGTTAAAGCTGTTCATCTTTTCCTGCTGAGGAGGGAATGTTGTCCTTTTGTACAGTGTCAGGATACTTCATCCCTTCCCCAGACAGCATGACAACATGTCTGCACCATTAATTGGGATTGTTTTAGGAGAAGGTGTCAACAATTCAAATGCCCCTGCTCCGATGCAGACACATTGTAACATGGCCTTGTATCAACGCAACTCCCAAAGACGTTCCCCAATCCCCTGTCCAAACAAATAGAACCATCCTCATGTTTCAAACAGTTTGTAAGACCTTCTTAGCACTTCTAGACAGCTCACCCACAATTAGCACACCTCAAAAACTGGAAAATGCATAAAGACATACCATAGAATCCCTGCGGTGTGGAAGTAGGCCATTCAGCCCATCACATATACGTCAACCCTCTGAAAAGCAGCCCACTCCCCATCCTATCCCTGTAACCCTGCGTTTCCCACAGCCAATTCACCTAGCCTGCACATTCCTAGTCGCTATAGGCAATTTAGCATGGCCAATTCACCCAACCTGCCCGTTTTTGGACTGTGGGAGAAAACCCATGCAGACACAGGAGGGACATGCAAACTCCACACAGACAGTCACCCGAGGCTGGAATTGAACCCGGGTCCCTGGCACCATGAAGTAACAGTGCTAACCACTGAGCCATCGTGCTGCTCTATCCTGCTGTAAACATGTAAAACAAAAGATCCCTGAACTGCGTACACAAACCCTGGATGATCCTGGAGTAATATCCAATCACTCTCAAGCAAGCACGCAATAGCAATGCTCCCCTCTCCCCCCAAGTTACCTGTATGACAGCATCCTGAACCTACACAAACACATGACAATGACTCCCTCCCCTTGCATAAAGCAAATCACCAACGTAAATGTACTGACACTGTTTGTCGTTCCGTGTAGGAGAGTTTGGGGAAGTTTGCAGAGGTTGCCTTAAGCTCCCCAGTAAGCGAGAGCTCCCAGTGGTCATCAAAACACTGAAAGTTGGCTGCTCAGAGAAACAGAAGCGCACCTTCCTGACAGAAGCAAGTATAATGGGGCAGTTTGATCATGTGAACATCATCCGGCTCGAAGGAGTTATCACAAGAGGTAGGCATTTCTGTGAAAAGATCTGTATGACTTTAATCGTTGCTGTCAATATATATCAACTCAACCTGCTAAAAGGAAACATGCATAATTTAAGAAAATGAACAGATTTTAAAATATCAAAACTCATGGTTGAATCACTTAAATGGGTATTTTCTGTGGTAGTTCTCTAATGTGAGTTTCTCAGTGGTGGGTAAATTTGTTACATATTGGATTATTGGGCATCTCATAGTGATGCTTGTTGGAATGGTTGGAATGGAGTGTAATGGTTTCTATGCAGTTACTACATTGATGCTTATCCTGGAGGAACAGTTAGGAGGGATGTTCTGCTGCCCGACATTGGCAATACTGAAGACATCAGGAGCACAAAATTGGGATCAATCATGCCCCCTGGTGACAGAAGTAAAAGGCCTTTTGAAAGGGCAGCACAGTACCTCCAGCTACTGCTAATGCGGCCTTCATGTGGGAAACTGTACTCATGCGAACATTCAAATTCGAAGCAGAAGTAAGCAATGGTCTCTCAAGCGTGCTCAATCATTCAGTACTATCATAGCAAATCTGATCACTCCATATTCCCATTGCGCCTAATCATCTTTTACCCCCTTCCTTATCAAGAATCGATCTCCCATAGAGTCATACAGCACGGAAACAGACCCTTCAGTCCAACCAGTCTATGCTGAACGCAATCCCAAATTAAATTAGTCCCACCTGCCTGCTCCTGGTCCATATCCCTCCAAGCCTTTCCCATTCGTGTACTCATCCAAATGTCTTTTAAAAATTGTAATTGTACCCACATCCACCACTTCCTCAGGAAGTTCATTCCACACGCGAACCACCCTCTGTAAAAAATTAGCCCCTCATGACTTTTTTAAATGACTCTCCTCTCACCTTCAAAATGTGCCCCCTAGTCTTGAAATCCTCCATCCTAGGGAAAAGATAACTGCCATTAACTCTATCTATATCCCTCATTATTTTATAAACTTGTATAAGGTCACCTCTCAACCTCCTATGTTCCAGTGAAAAAAGTCCTAGCCTATCCAGCCTTCCTTTAGAATTCAAACCTTCTATTCCCTGCAACATCCTGGTAAATCTCCGCTGAACCCTCTCCAGCTTGATAATATCCTTGCTATAATTGGGCAACCAGAACTGGACACAGCATTGCAGAAGAGGCCCCACCAATGTCCTGTACAACCCCAATATGACTTCCCAACTCCTATACTCAAATGACTGAGCAATGAAGGCAAGATTCAAAGACTCTTCTTCTACCACCTTTCAAGGAAAAGTATTCCCAAGACTCTCAAAACTTTGTGAGAAAAATGTTCTTTTTATCTCTATCTGTTATGGGCCAGACCAAACCCCCTTAAAATATATAAAGAATATAGTCCAGACTCTAAATTTTATTATTTTTAAAGGCAAGTGTAAGGCGTTATGTTCCAGATACAATTCGATTGGTCAAACTACCAGGCTTGAAGCAAAACAACTTTATTCTTACACTATAGTTAAAATACAAACAAAAGAAGAAATGGAATAACTTAATTCTATTGGAAAACTGAACAGAACAATAGGTTATTTAACTACTAAACAGCAACTGTTCCAATATAGTAACATCTCATAAACACATCCTTGGCAAAGGCAAATTCAGTAAAATAGATTGTCTGACATGCAATTCCAGCAGCAGAGAGAACTCCACATTTTAGATGTAACAGAGAGAGGAATAATAGTTTCCACATCCAGCTCCAAGATCCCAGCAATTGCTGAAACTTAAACTAAAATCCTGGTTCTATGAGAGCTTGACCCCACCCCTTCATGCTGCTTCTATTGTTCCAACCTTTTTAAAAACCCGAAGGCTTCACATGGTGTTTACTTTATTGGCTTGGAACATACCGTTTGGCACTTCTATCTCAACTTCTCTTCACTGAAAAAAGGACAAAATACACCTCTTAAAGCCATGGTATTGTCATATCTCTTAAATGGAGAACACTTTAGTTTTAATCAGTGACTCCAAATTCTAGATTCTACCACAAGAGGAAACATTCTTTCCACATGCACCCTGCCAAGACCCTTCTGGATCTTATATGTTACTACCAAATTGTCTATCATTCTTATAACATCCTACAGATACAAGCCTAGCCTGTCCAACCTTGCCTCATAAGATGACCCATTCGCTCCAAGTTTTAGTCCAGAAAACCTTTCCTCAACTACATCCAATGCAAATATATCCTTCCTTAAATAAGGAGATCAATACTGTGTATTGTATTCCAGAGGTGGTCTCATCACTACACTGTATAACTGAAGCATAGCTCCCTACTTTAATACCCCTTACAATAAAAAATAACATTCTCTTCACTTGGCTAATTAGTTACTGTACTTGCGTACTATCCTTTTATGCTTTATGCATTAAGGCATCCAGATCCTTCTGCACCTCAGAATTATTCATTTGCACACTATTTAGATTTTGTTTTTGTTCTTTCCGCCAAAATGGACAATTTTGCTTTCCCCAAATTCATACTCCATTTTCCAGATCTTCTCCTGCACACCTAACACACTGACATCCCTTCATAACATTCTTATAGCCTTCACAACTCTCTTTCCTACTTATATTTGTGCCATCAGCAAATTGAGCAGCCAGACCTTTGCTCCCTTCATCCAAGCCATTTATATGAATCATTAAGTATGGAGAGCCCAGCAGCACACCATTTAATTATCAATCAAAAATAGCCCATTTATGACTATTGTCTGTTTCCTGTTAGCTAACCAATTTTCTATTCATTCCAATGTGTTCCTGTCTAGACCATGAACTTCTATCCATCGTAGCCTTTGCTGTGACACCTATCTAAATGTCTTCTGGAAATCCATCTATAGTATATGACTGGTTCCCCTTTAACAACAACACATGTTACTTCCTCAAAGAACACCAGTAAATTGACAAGCATGATTTCCCTTTCACAGGATTTAACTCTGTCTGATTACTTTGAACTTTTTCTAAGTGTTCTGCTGTAACGTCTTTAACAATAGCATCTCAGGTCTGCCTACAATACATGTTAAACAAACTGTCCTGGTGCTTTTCTGCTTTCTGTCTTCCTCCCATTTTGATTAAAGGAATTACATCTGCTATTTTCCATTCTAGTTGCACCTTCCCAGAATCTAGCAAAGTTTGGAAAATTGAAACTATTGCATTGACTATCTCATTAGCCGTATCTGTGAAGACTCTCGGATGAAATTTTTCAGGACCACACCACTTCTCAACCGCAACTCCAGCAATTTACTCGGTACCATTTCCCTGGTGATTATAAATTTCACCAATTCCTCCATCTTTTCCATTTCTTGCTTAATAGCTCCTTTGGGGATATTTGTTCCTTGTATCCTGTACAGTAAAGACTGATGCAAAGTATCTGTTCAATTCATCTACTATCTCCTTTTCTTCTATTATTCTGGTACCTGGTGTACACAAGAAACAGTAAACTGGTGCTGACATGATGCCACTCTGCTCTATTAGCTAAGTTGTTGTTTTCTTTCTGAACTTGTGCCACACTAATCCATTGAATCAAATTGAATATCCTTTATTGTCATGTGCATGCAATGTAAAATGCAGTGAAAAGTGTGTACCGTCGCCGTGCATAGGCACCATTCACATTAACAAAATACTAAGAAAAGGATAACGTAAAGAGAGTCGAAACTTTCCTTTCCCACTGCTACAGCATGCTGCCACCAGGGACCCGCTCCAGGCTTCCCAGCCCACACCGTGCCACTGAGAGTGTCCCTTGGCCCCTCCGATGCTCCGGGGATGTGGCCCCTCCATTGGCCGCCTTGGGCTGCCTTCTCTTGCCCGCTACCGTTCGTGTCACCGGTTCACGCTTGCTGCTCTGGGGCTCACAGCCCACCCGCTGCTGCGTGGCTCGCTGCTCGTGGTGTTCTGGGGCACAAGGGCTCGCTGCTCTGGACTTGCCGTCGGCTACGGTGCTGAGGAGAGAGAAGAAGTCAAAATAAAAAGGAAAAAAAGAAAAAGGAGGGGAAAGACCAGTCAGAGCAGAGGAGCTTCGACAGGAGCGTCCTACTCTGCCGCCATCTTGCCACAGGAGTAATGTACGCTGCCTCCACGTGCCGGCCTCTTCACACGACTCGCTCGGCCATCACTCCTGCTCTGGCCCGCTCCGTCGCCCCTCCGCTCCGTCGCCCCTCTAGGACTTGGTCCACGCACTCAGCTCCCGCTCAGTCTCCAGCCGCAATCCGTCTCCCTCGACCACAATCACCAGGTAGGGCAAGGCAGTCAAAAGTTGTGGGGTGGGGGATGATTTTTAAAAAAAGCTACAAAGAGGAGAAATAAAGAAAGAAAAGGAAAAGGAACTGGTGAGCATAGGAGCTTCAACTGGAGAGTCCTATTCTGCTGCCATTTTGAATGGCAGTGGGAGCATCTGTCTGAGGTACAAAATTGTGCCTGATTCGGGAATATCACAAGATGTGGTTAACATGTAATTCTGAGTATTATTTAAAGCTCTTTTCACTTTGTATCACAACTCCCCACACTTGAGCACAAAATCGAGGCTGATGCTCTAACGTAGCACTGAGGAAGAGCTGTACTGTTGGTAATGCCAAGTACAAGCTCCCACAGCATTATTTTGAAGAGTTCTGTTTGTATTGAGAGTATTTTTCAGCCACTCAGTCACACCTGATACGATTTTAAAGTGCTTTGAGATATCCTGAAGTCGAGAATGATACTTTGGAACTGTATTACCCTTTTATCCCCCTCTTGGGTCATCCCCTACCTGCAGAGCAACATTGACGCTGGTTGTTAGGTAATGGTACATTCAGTGGTTTCAAGCACAATCCTCCATCTGAGGTTATTCAAGGAGAAAAGACATAGCAGGCATTCTATAACTCCCCATGATGACAGCCTTAATATTGGGAACTCAGTGGGTGGAGGGTAATGATTGCAACTGCTCGTCTGGTCGCTTGCAATATAACGCGGTGGAGCTATAAGACATTGTTCCACCAGAAATCTAGCAGGGAAGCTGCTTCTAAGTACCAGAGTATAAAAGTCAGCCTATTATTTATATTACATATATTAATATCATGATGTACAGTATTCATATCAACTATCATTGAGTCCATTAAACCTATTTCGTATCCATATTTGTCTTGGACATGAATAGAATGTCACAGCACTGAAGATGGCAATCCAGCCCATCTGCCTCCTAAATTAGCTATCTCATTAGTCGCACTCCACTACGTTTTCTGCCCAGTCCTGCATTTTATGTCCTGTTCAAACATTGATCCAGTTCTCTTTACAATGTCACTTTTGAACGTGCCTATATCACTCTTTCAGAACCTGACTTTGAGATGATTGAAATAATATATTTACTCAGAACTATCTGTGAGTGGATCTTGTGCCATGAGGCTGTTATAAGTCGAAATATCCTGCATTCGCTGTTTGCTGCATATTGAGTTACCAGATCCAAGTTAAGGCAGCAGTGTGTCTGGTACACAGTCAGGATGGAAGCAGGGAAAATCTGACCTCTGTTCCCATGATTGGGCAATCTGCAAGAAATACATTTGCATGGATCTTGAATGAAGACCGGGACAAGGCTGCCTACGAAGTCAAATAGCCCTCACTATCATGATCCACATAGGACAGAATCTAATAGCTGCAGTATTCATTCTACACGCTAAGCCTCAAAGCTAGGGACAACTGCACTGTGGTTGTTTTCACAAATCTTGGTGGAATTTGGAGTCAGTCAGGCAATTGACTGTTGGGCATCAAGGTTTCTATGACTGTAAGGGCAGATGTCTTGCCCCCAAGAGCTGCCAACCAATCATGTAGCAGGTAGTTCTTCAGCCCCAGCAGTGACTTCAGGCAGAGTGGACACTGCTGTGGAAAACCCAGGACCTGACAGACTGCTTGAAGCTGCAGAATTAGGGTAATTTTGTAGGGTACCCTTAGGACCACTCAGGCAGACCCTGGTGAAAGGGTGGCAGTAGTTAGTCACAATGCCATAAACAGTGAGAGTTTTCCTAGGACAGCCCTCCGCAGGCACTGACCTTGGTTGAGAGCCCAGCATTAGTTTGGGGGGGTGGAGGGGGGATTGCCTGGCATGGATTCAAGGAGTGGGGAAAAACCATCGTCTGAGATCTTACTGCGCAAGTTAAATGGGGGTCTGTTCAGTTATCAGACCCCCACGGTGTCTTAAGTATAATCTTGCACAAGTAAGAAATGCCTTTGGAGATAGTGCGAACTGCAGATGCTGGAGAATCTGAGATAATAAGGTGTAGAGCTGGATGAACACAGCAGGCCAAGCAGCATCAGAGGAGCAGGAAAGCTGA